AATCTTCCCTGCAGGAGGGAAATAGGTGTTTCAAAGCATTTTGGAGGTACAAAGAGACCAAGAAATGCATAATAGCAGGAGCAGATTCTAAGGCAAGATTAATGAGGGAGTGGCATGACCCTTCCTTGTATCATTTACTACAGAAGCCTTCACGGTAAAAATATTGGGACAGAAACACGTATTAGTGGGATTTTCATCTATCTTTGAAGATTAAAAAAAAAAATTCTAATGAGCACCTTAGGAATCAACTGTGATACTTTTATACGGAAAATGCTTTCCCAAGTAGCTTAAGGTGAATGGGCGGGGCGGTAAGGTGACCTCAGACAGACTCCAAGCACCTCACCCTGATGTGATTTATCTTTCTGCATGCTCTTCCGATTCCCTCTCCTGTTGCAGCAGTCACTCAAGAACTGCTTGCTGGAAAAATTAAATTTAACTAAAATGATCAATAATTCTTAAGCAACATATATTTGCAACAATTCTTAAGCAACATAAAAAATGCAAAGAATATACACAAATGTTTCTGCCAAAGCATGATTAGTATCGCTTTTGTAAAAACTGGATTTACAAGCATGTTTTTAAAGACCTATCATCCTCTAGGAATTTCTTAGATGGGGGTTATATAATGGTAATTGATTATTTACAATTTTTTCCTTTAACTTTTCTCAAATTTATATCCTTGAAAGTCGTTTTCAGTGAGCTCAAACATTTCTCTAAAGACTTTTTGATTTATTTATGATGAAAATTTAAATAATTTAAAAAAACCTACTTTGATTGTCTTATTATAAATTCCTGGCCATTCAAGATATCCTCTTTTTTTTTTTAAACAAACTCAGGTTAGGTTTTGCCAAATTACGTTAAACTAATTTTACTTTATTTTGAAATTTGACAATCACTAAAATATAATAACACTTTTCTTAATGAGGATTCGTTGCTCTGCGTGCAAGCTAAGTCTCATTTCAAATAGGCATTATCAAATACCATACAGGGAAAGCCCTAACTGCTTCTAATGAACATTAAATTATAGGTTGTTTCATCATGTTAAGTAATATCTTTTTTTTCACTTTAATCTTTATTATTTACTTATTTTTGAGAGAGAAAGAGCACGAGTGGGGAGGAGCAGAGGGAGCGGGAGAGAGAGAGAATCCTAAGCAGGTTCCATGCCCAGTGCATAGCCTGACGTGGGGCTCGATCTCACAACCCTGAGATCATGACCTGAGCTGAAATCAAGAGTTGGACACTTGACAGACTGAGCCACCCAGGCGTCCCTACACTTTAATCTTTAAAGAATGAAGATGAGAATTAGTGAGAATGGTAGGCCATCTCTATTTTTGTCTTGAGGCCACTGTTTACAGTAGAACAGAATCAGCCGTTCAAAAATTCTATTCAAAAATTCTATTTTATCTGACCGTATTGTGTGTTCTACTCCTGTTACCCCTTCATTGCTCTTGGGTAGGTCAGGTAACTCCTCTAGGTCTGTTTCTCCATTTCCAAAAAAGTAGACTGGGCTTGGAGAATGATTTCCAGGATCCTTCTTAATCTAACACTCCAATATTTCTTCTATAGCTTCGCACCTGGTGTTACTAGTATCTTCCCCAGGACTGGGCATCCTAAAAGGGATTACATAACAGATTGAAAAGCAAATTGTTACGCACCATAAATGAAACCATAATTAAGGATTTAGACATACCATGTACTCCAGGGCTGAAAGCTTATGGAAGCTGGAGGAAAGCTTACCTGGGCTTAGTGTTAAGAGATGTGGTGAGATTCTGCATGGAGCACTGGGTGTTATGCACAAACAACGAATCATGGAACACTACATCTAAAACTAATGATGTCATGTATGGGAATTAACATAAGAATTAAAAAAAAAAAAAAAGAAGAGCAGCGGCTTTGTTTTACTGCATATCCCTGGAACTTAGAACAGTGTCTGTGGCAGGACGAGTGCTCAAAAAATATTTGTTAATGTTGAAATGAAAAAAAAAAAAAAATGTGGTGAGAAGGAAGATGGGCATGTTCCTCTCTTTTCAGTAACTCTACGGAGCTCATCTACTTGAAATGAGGTCATTTACCTCCAAATCTATGACACTTTGTCACAAGTTCATTTTGGAAGTAGGAAGAGCAGGGCATTCTAAATAGACAGCAATTCAGAAACTATGGCCCATCCAAAAGCCCTCTAAGTTGGGTATGTTCTGATTTACAGGTTGATTGTGCCTGTACCTGTCCACCCTCTACTATGTCAGGAAGAAATAAAGTGAGGGAGGGCGCCTGGGTGGCTCAGTCGGTTAAGCGACTGCCTTCGGCTCAGGTCATGATCCTGGAGTCCCTGGATCAAGTCCCACATCGGGCTCTCTGCTCAGCAAGGAACCTGCTTCTCCCTCTGACCCTCCCCCCTCTCATGTGCTCTCTCTCTCTCTCTCATTCTCTCTGTCTCAAATAAATAAATAAAATCTTAAAAAAAAAAAAAAGAAATAAAGTGAGGGAGATAACACGTCAAAAAAAAATACAAAAAAAAATACAAAAACAAAAATTAAAAAACAAACAAAAAAACCCCAACAGCACTTGCTCTACACACATCCCCCCACCCCCAGGCTGTGGGAGAGAGAGGCGAGGGAGGTGCCCAATCAACTAAGAGGAACAGTATCAACCGGAGTAGAGATCATGACAGGAGTGAACCTGCCTTGTATGGGCTCAGCAGGGGCTAAATGAATGTCACAGGGAAGACCACTTGGATTGTCTGTGCTGTAGTGATTTTTTGTGACTGAAAAACCAAATAAAAATAGACGAGTTCTAAAATGTGTCTACTACTCGTTAACATTTAAACGTTACAACATTAATCTGACATACAGTTTAATATGAAACTATGATTTCAATCCATGGCAGTTTCCTACACTCAAAAAGCTATCCCGCCACGCCGAACTGTCAGAAGACAACAAGGCTCAGCTGAACCTGGGTGGTCACTGCAGAAAACCTCATGTTTTTACTAGATAGCCAAAAGAGCTCTTTAGCTACAGTCGTGTTTCTGCTAGGGATTCTTAGATCACCTTTCCTTTCCCTAGGCCACAGCAGGACTGACTTTCCATAGATGAAGCAGGGCCTAGGGGCTGACCGTAGGCTGGCCTGTTCACAGTGAAAGTGAGGAAATGGGATGGGTGGGTGGCAGTGTGGGTAAAAGGGTAAAACCCCCTTTACCAGAAAGGGGTTTTAGGCATCTTATCACTCGTTTCTGTTTGTTTTACCATGTTTCTTCCTAATCTGAAACCCATTCTCTATCCCCTGCCTATCCAAACCATAGTCATCCATCAGGATTCTCACATTCTTACTCTTCTGTGTATCTTCTTTGTCTACTAGGTCTCTCACTCATTTCATTCTCTTGGACTCCAAAGAGTATAACTCTGCCACACAATTTAATACCTCATCCCTCACAGTCTATTACACATTTCTAAGAGCTGTTTCAGTTTGTAAGCACCTCAACGGTTTGCACAATCTTCCATGGCAGGGACCCTAACAAACATTTCTGTTGGGACACTGTATATGACAGTAGTTAAGAGCACAACAGACTCTGACATCAGACTTCTTTGGTTAAGCTCTAGGTTTTAATAGTTGTTAGCTATTGCTAACAACTTGCTCAAGAAACTTACCTGCTCTGAAACCTAATACCTTGCCTGAAAAAATACAGATGATAAAATGACGACCTATATTGTGGAGATCCCTGTAAAGCTCTTAGGATAGCATCAGGCACAAAATAAGAGTTCCAAAAAATGCCAGTGCTATTATTATAATAATGAAAATAATAATTACTTCATTACGCCCACAGAGCTTAGCGAAGTCCTGGGTCATACTACATACTTATAAAGGGTGAAAGTTATTCTCTGGGAGGCAGTCGATCCCTCCCACCACAAAGTATGGTGAAATTCAACTTTTCAGAACTGCATCTCCTTGGATTTGTTAAAATGAGCATTTTCAAATTCCTCTTAGGATTCTTCTATATCCAGCCACTACTGGGCCATGCAGTATGTTCGCATACACGGAGGAGAGGTAAGGGTATGATAAGCGGAGGCTGTTTTTCACTGATGCTTACCTGAATCAAGTTTATATAACTGGAATATTTTCTTTAGAATAAACCAAAGTATGTAACTGCTTACCAACAGCACCCATGGCTAATCACTCATAAATTCAGTGATTACACTTTACATTCTGGAGGTCTACACCATTAAACTGCAACCATACAATACAAGAGAAACCTCTGGTTCTAGCAGCCAAAAGAAACTGGGTTCTACCTGATTGAAAACAAGCAGCTTTTATGGAAAAAACATATTAACATAAGTTGAAATTCAAGGACTTCCCAATCTTTTTCTCCCCAAACCCCGACAAGTTCCAATTTTATCAAGATTTATAACAGATAAGGACAGCTGAGTATGAGGGATGAAATTACTGGTATCTTTTAGCCTGATAGTTTTGCTCAGGTAAATACCAAGTGTGCTGATCAGATCACAAATGAAACAGCTTCACTTCCTTCGGAATATTTTTCAAACCTAAGAACAAAATTATTTCATCACACAGCCTCATTTTGTTTTTGTTTTATGTAACCTCTCTCGTATCCTAATTTTTTTCTTCTTTTTTCCTGTAACGATCAAACAAGTCACCACTGTATTAAAAACACCTAAGACAGTTACGCAAAAATGAGTAAGGCATTGAACTTAACTCCCGATAAAGCCTTCCTTTGTTTCACTTTCTTTTATAGCTAATACACAACTGCCCATGCAGATCTTAACTGTGACTTACTTACAGACTACGAAAGAAGAGGCACTTCATTCCTTCATAATGTTCTATGAGCTGCCTCCCTCCCCCAATCCTATACAAACAACAGTAGAATATTCAATTTAAGGTTGTGCCATTTGACTCCGCAAACACTGGGTCTTCAGCAAAGGTGCTTTCAGTCCGGATCTGAAATGATGGGATCATGGATTAGGAATGATTCTGGTGACAGTGATATTTAC